CACATTCAGACTCTGTAGAGGTAACCCTGCCTTTTCATGTTCGGACTCTATAGAGGTAAACCTGCCTTTTCATGTTCGGACTCTATAGAGGTAAACCTGCCTTTTCATGTTCGGACTCTATAGAGGTAAACCTGCCTCTTCATGTTCGGACTCTATAGAGGTAAACCTGCCTCCTCACGTTTGGACTCCTCTTTTCTGCGTGTGTGTTATAGCTGGACCCGTCCCTTCTGCTGAAACGGTGGAAGAGGGTCACCATGAGTATGGGCCAGGTGGAGGTGTCCCTTTCACTGAAGTACTGTGCCCACGCCTTGGAGCCCCCCAGGGCCGCCCCTGTCCAGCAGCCTCCCGTCTTCGCTGTGCCCATCGGCGAGCTGGCCCAGTGAGTCCGCCTGCCTGCCATGCATTTCAATAAGAATGACACGTTCTCTTCAATCATGCGTCAAGGCATTTGATTGCTTTAATGAGTGGAATGAGGAGCCTGTCTTTCATAGCCAGTCACACAGGTGACTTTATCAGAGGTGCACAGGGTGCATTTCCACCGCTACTACTCATAAGAAAATGCTATTTGAATATATTTGAATATATTCAATAATATTAAATTACATTGTAAAGTTATATTTGAAAATGTGGCTTGTGTTAGTCATATCAATGTGTAATAATAATCTATTGTGAGTGTATGTACTACTTTTTCTGCATAGCTGAGTTTGCCATAGCCTGTAATGAATGACTGGTTGGTCTCTCTCATCTTGCACTTCCTGGAAAAAAAGCCTAGAGTCGCCTAAGCCACTCAGAATGTGTGCCAGCATCTTGTTTGTGAGAATCCCTGCCTCTGCAGCAGAAATGAAAATTGAGTTCTGCGACTAGAAAGCAGACAGTGAAGCCAGTGAACTGCAAAATGGGCAGAAAGCAAAACTTATGTAGAATAAAAAGCAGAACAGAAGATAACTGTAAATAGCTCTGAAAGTACAGCAGAGACATGATGGGGGTTTCTCTTGGAAACAAATGTTGAACTGCCCTTGTTCCTGATGAATAATTAATAATGAATATAATTGACAAATAATATTAAAATACATGTGCTGTTCATCCTGAAATTACACTGCCAGACAGAAGGTGGCACTGTTGCCTTCCTTACCGTGCACATCTTACTGTAAAAAGAGTGTGAGCATGACTGTGCCCAGCCTGGTTATTCCTCTTCCAGACATGAGAGGGTGCTAGTGCCACACATTGTGCGCTCCTGCTCAGAGGAGGTGGAGCGTAGAGGCCTGGATGAGGTGGGCATCTACAGGATCTCTGGAGCGACCAGCGACATCCAGATTATGAAGAAGGCCTTTGACACCAGTGAGAATATCATGTTTTTGCATGTGTGTATAACAATGTGTGTCCACCCATCCGTCTTTGAACCTCTTTTTCTGATAAGGGCCACAGGACAACCTGGAGCCTCTAGAATGTGGTGTGCCTTCTGAAAAGATGCTATTATTTACATTGTAATTGTGTGTATATGTGTAGAAATGATCCCAGGATGCAGAGATCTTGCCTTTTCACTTTTGGAACTCAATAAGCATAAAACTAAAACTCTTTTGAATATGGTAGAAAGGCTTATTCAATATTTGGATTGATTGCCAAAGTTTTACCAAAAAGCTCTTTGCGTGTGCAGTGTGTGTGGGTCTCCTTCAATTACTCTGGTTTCCTCCTACTTTCCATGTAATGAAAGTGTGCAATTAAGTTAATTTGTCTCTATATCGCCTGTTCGATGTGTGAATGTGTGGCCCCTGAGGAAGTGACTGCTTCATGTTCTTTCACTCCTTGGAATGGCAAGCTAATATTGCAAACATGTACTGAATAAGCAGCAACAGCATGGCAGTGGCTGGATTTTTCACAGTGATAATATGAGTAACAGAGTAACATTTACAGAGTAACATTTATCTGCTTCTTAAATTAAAATGCACTGGATTTAGACTCAAGATTTTGTGTAAAAATTGAGTGAAAGCAGGAGCACTGCAGAGGCTAGACGTCTTTGTTTTACGCAAAGAAGCAAAACTGATTATGGAAGGTGACACAATGTTCCACGCACTCGTCTGCAGATGTGCGTGATGCTATATCACGCCTCAGGACCGTGGATGTGAACACAGTGTCTGGCACCTTGAAACTGTATTTCCGGGAGCTTCCACACTCAGTCATCCCTTCAGAGCTGTTCCAGAGTCTGGCTGATGCGCTGGGTGAGTCCCTCTCAAAGGAGAATTAATTTGTGTGTGTGTGTGTGTGTGTGTGTGTGTGTGTGTGTGTGTGTGTTAAGCAATACTGACTGACCAGCAATGTTTATATTCATACTACATTTCTCTTGAAACCCAATAGTTCTGCCTTTTGTGTCTACTCTTTGTACCTGTTCCCTATCCCAATTTCATGAAAATAACTTTCTTAAAATTATAGGTAAAGACCTCTTTGTCATGTGACTGTGTCTTCCACCGTGGACCTCTGTGTTCTCTCAGTGATGTCTAGAACTTTTTATTCCTTCACTGGTGTTTGAAAACCACATATATTGTCCTCTATATTCTATTCTATTCTTTTTTCTGAAAAAATATGTGAAAGCCTGAAGAAAAATGATATACAGACAATCCGCTAAACAGTCGGCATTAAGACTTGCCACGTGATCGATGCTGGGGAAGAGCTTCTGTTTATCGTTTGATGTTTGATGGTATATGCTGCAGATTTGCTTGTTGCAGAGGGTTGCTACTGGGGGCAATGTCGCCATACTCTCTTATGTTTAGCTTTTTTGATGTTTAACTAGATTACTAGTGTTGTATGAACCTGATTTCGTACCTCCTTTTGAACGTTCAGTAGAGCGCAGTACACAGTCCGCTACGCATAAATTTCGTTAACTTGGAAGTATTTCCACAAGACAGATATTTAGTCCCTTCTGTTTTGCTTTATAATGATATTGCTGATAATTTATGACCTGGAATCAGTTATAGGTGATTGTACGCTATTGCAAAGACAAATACAAGGACATGAGCATAATATTGGACCCTGTCTAAAACCAGATGTTCTCTTTGTGTGATTTGTGGGCCTAATTCAAGGGATCTTGAAGGGTTCTTTCTTTATTTCACTGGCAGAAATTCCAGACTTGAGGTCCAGACTGGACACCATGCTGACCATCCTACAGTCCTGCCCCGATGTGAATCGCAACACATTCCTCTTCCTCCTGCACCACCTCAAACGGTCAGTAGCGTAACCTTCCTTAACAGCCTCCTCATCGTCTTACATTACATTCACAATTCCTCTTCCTCACCTCTTCTCAGGGTGGCAGAGAGGCAGGAGATCAACAAAATGACCCTGATGAACTTGGCTACAGTGTTTGGACCCAGCATGGTTCGTCCTCCAGAAGTAATTCTGGGACAGTGTGGCCCTCCAGTGGACATATCACAGGAAGTGGTCGTGCAGGTGAGCTCCAGTGTTGACATATCACAGGAAGTGGTCGTGCAGGTGAGCACTAGAGCTCACTTATGACAGGAAGCGGCCAAACATGTTTGTCTCTCTGTACTCTTAGGTGCAGGTGCTTTACTTCTACCTTCAGTGCCAAAACCTTCCAGCCCCTCAGACTTTAGCACCTCTGGACACAGAAGAAGATACAGAGGTCGCATTATAAAGAAATCTTCCCTCACAACTGTTGCAACACATCAGCAGAAAACGCTTAAATTTCACGAGAAAGCGCAGTCCACCTATGGTGACTTGGGAGGCCGAGTAGCACTTTGAGAGGTCATCAGTCTTTCCTGGTGAACTGTGGATAGACCCATGAAGGGCTTGGCCTCATGCCTTTCCCTGGAACTCCTGGAAAAATTCTACACCATTTCAATGTGTTGTATAAAATGATATATTGTTTAGAATAACCGATGTTCAAAACTAAAGTGAAAACATAAATGTCACTGGTAGCTGGTTTCTAACTACCTTCTGTAGATTAGGAATGCTGAGTGTGACCATGTGCAAAGGCTAATGTTGTAAGGAGAGGTAGAAAGTTCCGTCTGAGAGGTGGAGGTTGTAACGGGACAGCAAAAGGCAGACCTGGTGTATAATCTGAGAATAGATTTTCATCAGGTGGCGAGGGCCAGTGTTAAATCTGATCTGTCACGGCTCGGATTCAACAAGATGAAGTTCACGAAAACACTCCCTGGCACTTCAAAGTCAGACCCCCCACCCCAGACAACCCCCTTGGACCGCCCTGCAGCTGGGTGTACGCTTACAGCATGGATCCCTCACCACCTGGGCCGGCGAGGCTAGTGTTACCGTCCATGGGCGGGCCGTTTGATGGCCTAATCCCGGGCATTCCCTACAAGCATTCCGGAGCCTCAGACCGTAGCCTGCCGGTGTCAGGTGCGGGGGGGATAATGACGCTTCGACATAAAGGAGACGTGATTACGACGCACCCGTAAATCAGCGGTCCCCGCCGCTTGGTAACGACAATCCCAGAAAGTGGGAATTGATCTCGAATGTCGCCGATCCTGACTGGAGAAGAGGAAACACCGGGTGGACACTGGACTCCCACCCCAGACTGACCGCAAACTGATAACCGCTCCGATTTACCGTCCGCCATTATGAAAGTGCATGGCGTACACGTTTAAAAAAATCGGTTGAAAAATGCAGAATCTGTTTTATTCTTGTGGTTCCCCCTTGTTCCCTTAAAAACCCAATTATTATAACCGTACCCTCCATGGCAGTTAAACTGGATCAACAAGTCTGTTTTTATCATCGTGCCGTAAAATGAAATAAAACTTGGACCATGTGTAAGCATATAACAGTATTAGGAATAGAACTTTTATTAAAATGATACAGACCCATAAATTTCGGTATACATGTTCAACAGGTTAGTTCAGTTCCTGTGTGTTAATAGCCTATATATTGAAAACTTTACATGACTTCCTTTTAATTTCCCATTTGAATTGCACCGGATGATTGCGTAAACCATAGGGGAAGGAGAGAGAACTTAATTAAGGGCGATAAGGGTGTCGAGTTGCGCTGCACTCCGCAGCTGCAAGGAATGCTGGGTCGGGTGGCAGCGGTGTCAGCCTTTTATGCAGAATGTCATTTTTTGGGGGGGGCGATAAGTGTAAGAACACGTGAGGATGGCCATTTTTCAGTGTGCTATTTTTTTCCGTTTAATAGAGGCTGTTTGTGTCTGTGTAGGTTAAAGGGCGCTGTCGCTTACATGAACCAAGAGTTGGTTTCTGTACAGAAAACGCAGGCGTTAAGTGTGACCAAGAAGTGTGAAAAATTTTGCCGCTTGCGTGCGTTTGCATCGGCGCGCAGACAAGCGACTCATACCTACCCTGATCGCACCAGTAGTTTTAAGCGCGTTCCCGCGAATGCGCACATCCGTTCGCCACCGCTTCTGGTGCCACCAGCAGGACGGACCCTCGGAGCTTGTTGACCTTTGGCTTCGCAGTCTCCCGTCTCGTAAAAATCGCCCCCGGCGAGGCAGTAAAGCTGGCATCTCCTGGCGGGAGGTGTTTACGCCGGTCGTGTCAGAGCTAATCCCCACCCGGCTGCTACCGTGTGCGTGTTTGTGTGTGCGCAAAGCTGTAACTGTATATGCACTCTCTAAAAAGTGCATGGCGCATTTAATTGGTGTTGCATGAATGACATCAGCGCCCGGCTTCTGCCAGGAAAACCTGGACGTGCATAAATGGAGAAAGTTATTCGCCATAATAATAAAACTGTCCGTGTGAGATATACAGTGCGTTTGCTACAGTATGGGTGATATATGGTCTGCTTGTGATGGGAGATGTCGTCTCAAACAAACAATCAGTTGTTAGGGGCTCGCAGTGCGGTTTGGGAATGACATGTCCTTCCTGGATAGATGGAGCAGGTGCGGCTCTGCGCGGGTGGTAGCCCATGGATAAACCGTCATTCCTGTGGGCTCCATTTTCCTTTTATTTTCAGTTGGGGGTGTAACAGGGGTAGACATTCGCAGATGCATTTAAAATTATATTGAGTTTGACAAATTGGTTTTTTATGTCTGGATTTTTTTTATGTCTCCAACATAAACTCTACCTCAGTCTCTGCCTTCTCCCTGTGAACAAAGTAGCGCTATAAAATCCTGGGCCTGCTACTGATTGGCTTGTTGGGAGCAGGGGTCTGCACTGTGATTGGGCGGATGAGTGCCAATCAAACTACAATCCAGGGCCAAGAGTTTGCATGGGTCTACAGTGGACGGGCTGTCAAAGGAAATTTATTGGTTAGAGCCGCGTTGTAAAATGCTGCATTACGGAAGATGGGCTGTGGCAGAAAAAACACTGAGAAACATGGGTCAGAAGACTAAGCAGTTTTTTTTTTTATTCAGAACCTACCACAGATATGGCAATAGTTTGAGATCTTTAAAGAGAGTTAAATTGTTTTCAAAAACAATAATTAGTAAAAATTGTTTCATGCCGTTGTTTCATAGCAGCTAACTTTTCTAGACAAATAACCTTGAATTCTCAGCTTCATCTTGGAAAAATAACACGTATGGATACATTTTCAGTCTCGGACATCATTGGCTTTCTGCAGTATGTATTATTTGGGCTCCGACATGCATAAATGGCAGACTTTCCCTTCTTTGTCAAGGCAGATCTGCAGAGTCCTCACCTTCCAGGATTTTCAGGTCTTCGTCCATCTGGTGTAACACAATCATTACCGAATCCCTCAGGACCATCTGACCGTCTGTCATTGTTTAGAAAAAGGTAGTTTTTATTGTTTTTATCTTAATTGCCGCCGATGTATGAACATCGGCGTCTGTGTCTTACAGGTGAGGGGTACCAGGCCTGCCTCACATCCCCAGGGTTGTGTGTGTGGGCAGCATGTTCTCCTCAACACTGGTTTGCTTCAGACATGCAGAGGGGACTAGATCCTCAGCCCCTGCAGCCTCCTCCTCCCCCACACGCTCACTACAAGTGTGACCTCAGCTCTCCCCCCTTTCTTCGGACTTGTGGGGGGGCATGTGTTGTGGAGGGCTCAGGAGCTCGCTGGGATATGAGCTTTGGGGGGGGGGTGTCTGTGTCTGAGCCGAGGGCCCTGCCTCGTGATCCGATTCCTCCACCTGTGGTGTCGCTGGCCCAGCGCCAGTGTTCCGAGAGTGGGTCAGCTGCCTGGACGGTGACAGCGTTGGGGGGGGAGGGGTGTGGTCCACGGGAGGCTGTGTGGTTCTTCTCGGTGGTCTGGGAGGACAACGGCCCCTCTTGTCCTGCCCCAGGAAGCCCCTCAGCTTGGGATTCCAGTGTTCCCTCCAAGGCAGGGCCAACGTGCTGCGATCGGCCACCAGGCGGCGCTCTTCTGGTCCCCAGTTGTGACTGCTGGCTTCAGCTCCGACCAGCAGGAAGGCTCTGCCCACCTGGAGGGCTGGGCAGCCGCAGCCCAGGTCTCGGTCCGGTACCCACACAGCCTGAAGGCCGCGCCGTATGCGGGCTGTCCCCAGGCGGAACACGGACTGGACCAGCACTGAGAACTGCCACCAGGGCCCTGATCGCTCCATGCCTCTGACCTGAACCTTCAGAACTGGGTCAGAGGACAGAGAAATCAAACTAATCCTAAGGCTGCAGGTTAAAATCTAAAGGGAAATGTTTCTATTTTACTCTTAAAGGTAACAAAATGATAAGATGACAGTGACTGAATTTGATTAAAAGAAGAAGTCAGGGAGCATAAGGAGGAAGGTGAAGATGGAGCATGGTGTGTGTATGGGGGGGGGGGGGGTTTACACAAAGAAATAAGGCACCTAAGAAAAGAGGGAGTGACTCCTGGACTGTTAATCTGATGTGCGTTTGCATATGTCTACACTCACCATAGTCTTTCAAACAGTACGTCTCCAGGTTCATCTTCGCTTTGACTTGAGACGGCTGACAGTAAGAGCCGCACTGCTCACCTGTAAGGCACGAGACAGTGGGGGCGCGTTGCGACATTAGCCTGGACAGCTGCACGGACTTCTCACTCCCCCGCTTCCGTGTGTCACTATGGTATCCCATCACCGCACAGACTTTTCCTGCGTTCGTGTTTTGACAGTAGCCACGAGATGGCGACAAAATCACATAAGCCAGTGATTCTCAACATTTATTTTTTTTTGTTTATCCAAGGTGCTCCTGTGTCCGGGCAAAATAGGCTTGGACGCCGCGCCGCGCAGGTTACCATTTTGCTCTTGTATGCGTTCTGCAACGATGACAAAAGTTGCCAATGTTTTCTAATATAAACATATTTTAATTTGGTTTCACTACCAAACGACGTAATTTCTTTTGAATGTGACTCAAATAAGGTTTTACTGCACTTTGTCCACCAACACATTTTTTTCCCCTCAAGACAGAAGGTGAATGTTAAGGAACAAAAAAAAACGAATCTAAATCCAACACCTATTTGGAAAATGGCTGTACTGTAAAATCTGTAGCCTGATAACCATTAAACCTGCACTTAAGTGAATAGACCCTCATTTTAAGGTATTGGCCCAAAACAAAATAAAACATATATTGCAAAATACAATATTTGTAACAATGTTTTAAAACGCAATGAACCAAGCACCAATGATTCCTCGCCTCTCCCCTCCACCAGCTTCCCAGGAGACGGCCCTAACTGAGCGGCCTGATTTTAGCTGAGAATTCTGGGATTCTGTGTAACATCAGGACCGCAGCTCTTGTGCCGCTTTCAACCAGGAAGGAATACTGTTGGTTTCCAGTAAAAAAAAAAAAAAAAAAAAAAAACTTTAATAAAGCCCTAATTTTAACATACGGTCAAAAGTAAATCGATATAAACGTGCTGAAAAAATATCAATATATTGTAAAATTTTGAAAATGTAATCTTTAGCGCGTGCTGTCCTTTAACCTGCTACAGTTATTTTGTGATTGGCTGGTTATCTACAAGGACCTGAGAGCAGAGCAAAGCATATTTTGTCATATTTTTCACCTTACCAATG